GTTAAATCTCCGATTCAAGCCTACCGCCTGTCTACGATTTCGTCTCAGTACCACCTACGCAACCACACCACTCGTGGTCCCAAAATCTTTCCGGATACGAAATTGACCAAAATTACCCTTAACCCAAGAGTAAATTAATATTTTCTCTTAATTAAATTAAAATATGAAATAATTGGAGTCGGGGTGTTACAGCGCGCGTGGCGGAGCGTGGGCAAGGTTGGTGAAGTTACTTTTTATCTTGATGAGATCCTTAGGTTGTCACGAGTGCGTAGGATTTTGCGGATCTCAATTTGAAAGTCGTTTGACTATCGAACGGATTTCGCATATTGTGCATTATCCAGGTTCGATAAGTTCTAACCGTCGGATCATTTCCAAACTGAAGTATGTTGATCTAGGTATTCTTAGAAACCTATAGGAATTCACGGATCGTGAATCGGAGCCCCGGATGTTCCGATTCAATAATTTGAAGTTTGAGGAAATGCGATAACCGTACGATTGGAAGCGTTTCCCAAACCTGTAAGCGGACCTTAGGATATCCCATTAGACGTACAACCGGGAACTTGGGGATTTAAGTATTCTCTTTTGTGAATTTCTGTTGTGAAGTGCGTTATATTAATATAGAGTTCGTATCTCAAAATAGGTACTTCGGTCGATCATTCGCAGCAGGCAGGACCCTTTCGGGGCCGAGCAGCTTGGGATTATTTGTGAGTGGACTTTGTTTTAAGCATATGCATGGTTTTATTAATAAAAGATTTGTGCATATATTTAAAATGGTGATTTTGATTTAATAATTATTTGGTTGATGGATTTGAATATTCTTATACGTATCGGCAATATATTTTGAGGATGGATATATTTGAGTATGAGGAATATGTTTATATTAATTTTGGGATGTCTATCTATATTGTCTATGTATAGAGTATGAGGGGTTGTTGTGGTGAGATGGTGGAAAGTTATGAGTTTTAGGGATGGTGGTGAGATGTATGAGTATGTTAGGTGAGTACCATTCTCTAGTTACTAGGCTTCCCACACACGTCGTTGGCAGTGCCGGTGGGGTGGGAAGGCCATGAGATTGTGGGTCTCACACGTCGTTGGCAGTGCTAGTGTGTGAGACACTTCCCATACGTGTCGTTGGCAGTGCCGGCATATGGGAAGAGTATGTATATTGCTTAGTATCATATCACACGTCGTTGGCAGTGCCAGTGTGTGAGACACTTCCCATACGTGTCGTTGGCAGTGCCGGCATATGGGAAGAGTATGTATATTGCTTAGTATCATATCACACGTCGTTGGCAGTGCCGGTGGGGTAATGATACTGTCTGCGTGCGTAGAATTTGTTATGAGATTTGTGAGCTACACGTGTCGTTGGCAGTGCCGGCGTGTGAGCTGTGGAGTTCCGTCCCCCGGTTGCACTACTCATCCCTGGACGCGGGTTAGTGTTCGGAAATCCTGCGTACCAGCTAACAATCCCCCGGTTGGATTGTTTTCCCGGTACATTAGTATGGAGAGAAGTATATATTATATTATAGTTATAGTTATAGATATATATATATATATGTGTGTGTGTGTGTGTTTACGGGTTGAGGAGAGTTGCATATCTTTGGGAATGGACTTGTGATTTTGAGATTGTGAGAGTTATTGGACTTTGAGATAATGTGTTTTGGGTATTTGGTTTCTGAATTGTGAAACTGCATGTTAGAGCATTACTTTTACACGGTGGAGTTATTATGTTGTTTTAAAATGCAAACTTTATTTTTGTCCACTCACATATTTCTGTTTTGCGCCTCCCCAGGCAGTAGTTGCTCTTGGAAGCGTTCGAGCAGGTTGCGAGCTCAAAATATTTCATCCGTAGATAGGACTTGTGTAAATTCCTTCTACTCAACTGTTTGTTATAAACAAATTCTGTTAGATGCTCTGTTATCGCCCATGTTAGGTTGTTACTTGAGGCCGGAGGCCATTTTATTTTGGATTGTTGTATGTTGAAAGCATGCTGGTAGTTGGATTTTATTTTATGTAAATTATGCAGGTTGAATATTGTTGAGTTTGAGCATTTTACAGGGGAAACTCTGCCAAAAATTTGGTAGGATGTCTTGGGTTTTTAGTAAGTGGGCCCGGCATCGGTGTGATATCGGCACCAAGACAGGGTCCGCCCCGATTTCAGGGGAAATTCTGGAGCGGGTCCTGTCAAACATCATATAGAACTTCTGAATCGGGTCGGGTCATTAATCATGACCAATGCAACGACTATGAATTTGCTCAAAACCCGAACTTTGAACTTTCAAATCTGAAATCTAACTTTTTCATTCCCACAAAACGAGTCAGAACCAATACCACCAAAAAGGCACAAGGCAATAAGAAAAAAGAAAATATAGACCATGATCTTTCTTTAATTTTGAATTGGTAAGCAAACAATTGCTGATTAAAGCACTTACAAATACTGAATCTTATTACCAGCAACAATTTGATCTGTAACCTTACCAGCAAATTAGATATGGTTGTCCTTCTTTTCCAAATTAGAAATGGTTGTCCTTCTTCTTCTTCTCTTTTTAATCCACCAGGACGAAGACTTTTTAGTTCCCACAAAACATACTATTTTGGGGGCTGTTTGACACATGTTTCGTGGGAATTAAAAAGTCTTTGTCCCGGTGGATTACCAAATACCACATAAAAGGCACAAAGCAATAAACAAGAAAATTTAGACCATGATCTTTCTTTAATCTTTATACACTGAAAACATATAAGTTTTTTCTTTTTTTTTTGGAGAGAGCAAACACACAAGATTAATTTGTAGGAAAAGAATAGATGCTGGCTTGTAGTAACTATAGCAGTGTCTGCCTATTTTGCCCCAGTGAAAACTAATTGGCTTGAAGTTAGATCACGATAAACTTCATATACCAGGACCGCAATCCTGCATCAGCACAAAGAAATAAGTAATTAAATAAATACATGTCAAGCTAGAAAGTCAATTGCTAATTTTCCCCCTGGCGTCATCAAAGTCCAAGTAAAAATTATTTTGATTTGAATTGGTAAGCAAACAACTGCTGATTAAAGCATTTTAAAATATTTAAGTCTCTGCTCTATTTTAGACCCAACAATTTGATCTGTAACCTTACCAGCAAATTAGAAATGGTTATCCTTCTTCTTCTTCTCTTGTTTCACTTAGCCCCTTGTGCAACCTCATTAAACTTCAGTTTCCCCACCTTCCCAAATGGCATCAACACCCTATCTCTTGAGGGAGATGCTTTCGTCGACGGTGATTTCCTCCGACTCACCAAAAGCGCTGCTGACGACGTGCAAGACCAAAGCGTCGGTCGAGCCACCTACAGCCAACCCTTCCTCCTCCGCGACAACGCCACGGGAAAACTCGCCGACTTCACCACAAATTTCACATTCGCCATTGACTCGCTAGACAAAACACCCTATGCAGATGGGCTCGCTTTCTTTTTGGCGCCAAATGGGTCTGCACTCAACAGAACAATAGGCAGAGGTGGCTCTCTTGGCCTCCCCGTCATAAACCCAGAAAAAAACGAGTCCACGAATCTGTACCCGTTTGTGGCAGTGGAGTTTGATATCTACTCAAATAACGTCACTTCTGTCGAAGATCCCGCCGGCGATCATGTTGGTATTGATGTCAACTCTGTCAAGTCTAAGGTTACCAGGGCGTGGAATGGTAGTATTACAAAGGGACGACTCAATAATGCTTGGATTCGTTACGATTCTGGATCAAAAAATCTTAGCGTTACATTTACTACTTATGAAAATGGTGTCTGGGTTAGAAGGTATTTTGATTACATGGTTGATGTGAATGAGATTTTGCAGGGTTGGGTGATTGTTGGGTTCTCTGCTGCAACAGGTGCTATGACTGCTCTGCACAAGATCAACTCATGGAGTTTCAATTCGACATCGCTGATTGATGAGAATGCAAATAACAACACACCAGTAGCTCCTGAGCCGACCCCCATTGTTGAACCCGGGTCAGGAAATGGCATCAACATTGGACTTGTGGTTGGGCTGGTTGTTGGTGGGTGTGTTCTTTTGGTTGGTGGGTTTTGTTTGGTTTGGTTCATTTTTTGGAAGAAGGGGGGAACAGGGGAAAGTAGCGACAATGATGAAGATCCTATGATCAACGATCCAATTGATGACGAATTCGAGAAGGGTACAGGCCCAAAGAAGTTTTCGTACAAGATGTTGGCTCAATCGACAAACGATTTTGACGAGGGAGAGAAGCTTGGAGAGGGAGGGTTTGGTGGGGTTTACAGAGGCTT